GCAAACTTTATAATATACTTAAGATGATTTCCGCAGAACATCCAAGCAGTAATGGCAAACATTAAGTTACCAAAAAAATCTCATGGCATGGTAATATTTTGAATGCAGTTAAGAAGAACTTATCAAGACTTAAGCTCTTAAGCTGACCCTGTGAGGGAAATGACTTGAACAGATATTTTGTGTTAGTTAAAAACACAATCTTATAACACACGCTTTAAGCATTCTTGCAAGGTTTAGCATTAACTTTCTCGAGAATGCTTGAGAATTTAATCATGGGGTCACTTAGAGAAATGAACTAAAGTGAGTTGTTTTAAATAGTATTCACAAAGTTACCAAGCTATGAGTAGAGTTTTAGTAAATAATATTTGCACTCATTGCCTGAACTTTGAGTGGAATCCGCCTTAATATGTTATACCTTTTGGGTATCGCATTTTTCAATAAAAAAGAAAAGCCCCCTTAGCCCCCCATGATTCTACACAATATACTGTACTTTTGTGAGGTAGGTTGGTAGAGCTTTTTCATAGCTACGTGGCAGTTATGTTGTTAGAACACACAGCATGTAAATTGACAACAGTTGTCTATATAATTGCAGGCTTGTAGAAATCCTCTTGAGACTTACTAAACATGGGCTCAAATGTATTGTGCCTCTGATGAGACCTATGCTTTAAAATTGCACAAAATTTTCATGTTAACATGATTTCTTGATTTTGGAAGAACAATATTTGGTCCTTCAAAACTTTCAAGGATTTTAGCATTAATCATTTTCTTTTAAATTATGAATAAACCACTTTTTAGATTCTAGTGTTTAGACATCTTTCAATTAAACATCTTAGCAGGGAAAAAACTTGAAGAGTACTTTTCCATTTCAGATAAATTGACTTCCAGCACCACCTGTCCAACAGGACAAGTTAGGTTTACTTAGAACAAAACAAAGTATCTCAAACAAAACCCACCCTAAATTTTTAGAGATATAGCTAACTGTAGTGAAATCAAGGTGCAAAACATACAGTACACACAGACAGATTTAATCAGGAGTGTCAGTCTTACATGCGAATGCCCATCTCTAGCCTGTTCAGCAAGCACACACAGACTACTACTTGTTGCTATGTAGCGGTAATTGAGTAATCATACAGAACTTCAATTGGCTGATGTCAAACTGATGATCACAGGATGTGCCAGAGAATGTGCAGTCAAAATTACATAATGCAATATCTCAACAATAACCTATATGTAAACAGCTTTCACCATACTTGGGAAATGAACTGTTTTGCTTTTCATTCAACTGCATTATCAAATGCTGTTGTAAAGCACCAAACATGTCTTTAACATAATAGCTAATAATTATTGTTGTGTTATTGTCAAGACCCCCTGATCACCAACCAAGAGAAGTCATCACCCTGTCTTCATGAGCTTCCAGAGGAGGTGCTGCAT